AAGCCTTCCACACTACAGGTTATTAGATTAATTTTTATCTAAAATTTATATTTTAAAAATTAAAATATCAAATTAAATCTATTAAAAATAAAAAAAAGCACTTATTTGACGTAAGCGGATTAGATTGTTTGTTAAAATATGTTATCTGTCTAATTAGGTGCTTGAATCATCAAGAAATATCTTATCAACTAATCTCGTTTCAGAAATATCATAAGCCTTCCACACTACAGGTTATTAGATTAATTTTTGGGTGACCTTGAAACTGCATGCATTCGTACATTATATTTTCAAATATATTGATGACAAATGTTAGGAGAAACCTAGGGAAACTGGTTAGTTAGAAATACCCATCACCTGTGTCTGGATTTTTCTAGTATTAGGATGATAGATATGGATTTAATAATAATGATTATACCTGAGTACCGTGAGATTTTATTTTAAACAATATTGTGTCTGTAAGTTCATTATTAACCTAAAATTTTAATTTAGAGATATTTAATTTAAAATTTGAGTAAATAAAAATTAATTATAAAAAAAATAATTATTTCAAGTTATATAACTCATTATCTATCATCATATATACAAGGTTATCAATTTAAGATCTATTAGTATCTCTGCCTGCTATGCAGGAATTTTATTCTAAATTTATATTTATTAATTTATTTATCTTTTATTTTATGGAGAATTAAATAATTCTTGATAAAATTTTCTTTAATTTTTAAAGGAAAGAGGGGATCCACTTTTTTTTAAATAAACATATGAGGTTCCATTATTTAATATAAATTCTATTAATGTATTAATTTGAAATTTAAAATGATAATACAATTAAATTAATTGTGAATTTAAATTAAAAATTTGATGAGGTGAAGTTTGAATTTCAAATAAATAACCTAATCTAAAAAAGGTTTTGTTAAATAGGATTCAAAATAGATTTAAGTAAAATTTTTTAATTTTGTTTATTTTATAGATAAATCATTAATTTTAATTTTAATTTATTTAGTTTTCAATTATTTACTAACAATGAAATGTAAATGAATAATCATCATTCTAATTTAAAGAAGAAAATATTGAAATCTCTAAGTTAGGGAAAAAAGCAACTTAATTAAGTGGATTAAATGACAGAAGATGATTGTTTTTAGTTGTGTAAGTTAAGATTAAAAAAATAAAAAATAAAAAATAAAAAAAAGAATAAAGGAAAAGGATATGAACCGAAAGTCATTTGATTAGTCTCATACGCAAAATGATACGCAAGAAATTGAAGACCCATCTCTTTTGTAGCTATGTTCTAGAAGGCAAAAAAAGAAGATTCAGTTTGACAAAAACCTTGATTAAGAGATTAGTTTCACATTCCGTTTGAGTCCCAAATTCAAAATTCGGCACATATTTCTCCGTTAAATACTAAAGCATTGTTTGGTCTGAATTGGAATGCCGTTTTCGTTTTCTTCTTCTCCTTTTGTTTTCTCGCCGCTTGGATTCTTTATTGTAGGCTTCGAAATAACAGTCAAAAGCAGGCAAAATGTCGGTTCAAGATGCCACCAATTTGCTAAATTATAAAAGTTGTAATCGACGTGTAGATTTGGGATATCTTACAAGTTACCTCTTTTTTTAACTTGGGTACGTACCATCATTCAAAATTAAATTAGTTCTACATCAAACCAAGTTAAATTTAATTGACTTAATCTTTTTTGTCTAATTACAAACAAACCATTATCAAGATGAGATAAACTCTTAAAAAATAGAGAAAAAAATTTTACTTTTATTCATCTATTTTTAACTGTCATGAAAGAGAGACAACCACCACTAAATTCAAAAAATAAAGAGAGAAACCCAACTAAAGTAATCGAACAAGTTGAACGACAACCATTAATGAAATGTCGTGGTTGGGGTTAGAAAGACAAGACATAAGAATTCCCTCTCCATGGCAACGGATGGTGAGCCACACTAAAACTTCGATTTAATTGAATCAATTCCCAGTGCTTTATTCCCGTTACTTTTAGATCCATTTTTTTGCATAGATGTGTTCTTTTAGGATCTTAGGAGTTTTTCACCCTCCATTGATAAGGGTATGGGTTTTCGCTGTGGTGTTGACAATGGCGATTAGGTCTTCTTCCTTGTATGGGTGAGCGAGGTTCCCTGAGGCAAATTATCTTGCCTGGAGAGGGCAGAGTCTATAGCCACATATGGTGTCGTTTTGAGGGAGTTTATCTTGTCGTAGAGGTACCAAGTTAGCAAGGGAGGCTGGTTGTTGTAGGAACACGTCTCATATGCTGCAGTGGCTGCTAGATGATGCAACAGTGGGTGGATGACTTTGACGACTACAACTATTTCGGGAGTAGACAACCTGGTGGTGCTAGTTTGACAGGGGAGGAACCACCGGTAGAGTTGGTGGGGGGGGGGCGGGTGTTAGCCTAGCGAGATTTACGCAAAAAATAATAATAATAATAATAATAATAATAATTTTATACTCATTTACTATTTTAATTTTTAAAAAAAGTTTAAAATGTATCAATTATATATTTTTATTAATTATTTATAAATTAAAATTAAATTTAATTCTATCAATAAGTACTTAATTAAAATTACATACCTTTACACCCGTAATTTCGATTGTTTTGATTGAGTGCACTTAAATTTATGATTTCGATCAGAGTTTAAAACTGCAGTGTAGCTCTTTATTTCTTTCACCCTCACATTCCCCCTGTTCAAAAAAAAAAATTGCATGCCTTTTATTTATGTTAAAAATAAAGTAAATTTATGTATTTTTTATATAAATTAATAGAAAAAATATAATCAGCACATCTAAGCAGCCACCCCTAGACTTTTAAAAAATGTTTAATATAGTACAAATATTTTTATTTTTTTTGTAAAATTTTAATTTTGAAGCTTGAATTACAGGAAGCATTTAAATATAAAGAATGTTTACCTAGATAAAATTATTGTCTTTTTTTAAGAATTAGTCACAAATACATAATCCCTTTAGTTAAGTTATAAAGTTAACCTATATCTGGTTATATTAATTATAATTTATATAAATTTTTATATTTATTATATATAATTTTTATTTGTATAATTATTATTTTATTAAATTAATAGTTAAATTTATTTTATTCCTTTAAATTATATGTTTTAAATTTAAATTTAATTTAATATATATAACCTTATAAAGAAAATAAATTATATTTTATATTACTTATGTAATAATATTAAATTATATATTATTAAAAAATAATTAAATGCATCTAATTAATTTAAATTTTTATGAGAATGATATAAATAATTTGTATACAAAATTAGTCATTAATTTAAAAATTAATATAAATTATACTATATAAATTAATAAATTACTCACAAAAAAATTTAAAATTTTACCCCTTGATATAAATTCCTAACTCCATCTCCGACTCCGACAATAAATAAACCGTTAAAAATATTGCATTGCCAATTTTGACTAAAGTTAAAATGCTCCAATCCTAATCATCCTTATTTTTGGGAAAGAAAAATGTTCCCAAAACCAATCGAGTCAACACGTGGAACCGAGAGGCCGGGCAACGCGCAGACCACAAAACAAATTCACGAATTTCACAAATTTCATGCAAGCAAACGTCATCAGATGGGGCTTCCACGTGGAGGGCCCGGGACGTGACATCACGGAACACGGTTGGTGATGTCATATGAAGTTAGAGCTGAGCTGGCCTTTTTTTTTTAAAGGATTTCGGATGACGTGGGGTCCCCGCACCGTCCGCCAGCGGCTGTTTTGTCTTCTCCGCTTTGAAAAATAAAAGTTGGAAAATTGCGAAATGAGCTGGCGTAAGCTTACGTGGGAACGCACACAATTGTATTGGTTGAGAGAGTAAGGTACTGCTACGTCGTACGTACCATAAATTTTCTTTTTCTTTTATTAAGGTAAACGTCATCTGTCTATATGCAACGACGTCATAAATCTCTCAACCACCCTTTTTTTGTCCATAATCTCTCAACCACTTTAGAGATAGAGACAATTATTCAAGCACAATCATATTTAAGGTAAACACACCTCAACAGATGATTTAATTGTTAAAAATTTAAATTTTAAAATTTTAAGTTTGGATTAGTCAAGTAGAGAGAGAAGAAAAAAAAAGAGGATTATGTTTTTTTGTATATTTATTATTATCATATGTATAAAATAATCATATTTAAGTAATTTTATTATAAAATTTAATATTGTTAAATTTATATTAATAAATAATTTTTTTAATTAAAGAATAATAATATATGGATACTTTTTTTTACAGTCTTTTTATACAACATTTATATGTTAATAAATAAGTAAATACACTTAATTATAAGTTTTAAATAAATAAAAAGTTAATTATTTAAATAACACGTAAAGTTGTATTAAAAAACAAAAAGATTGTTCTAAAACCATTTTCTTTTTTTCTTATGTTGTTGGCCAATAAACGACCACGTAAGACGTTCCACATGGCACACGCTTGGATAATTTTTTAATTAAAGAATAATAATATATGGATACTTTTTTTTACAATCTTTTTATACAACATTTATATGTTAATAAATAAGTAAATACACTTAATTATAAGTTTTAAATAAATAAAAAGTTAATTATTTAAATAACACATAAAGTTGTATTAAAAAACAAAAAGATTGTTCTAAAACCATTTTCTTTAATTAAAAGATTATAAATATTATA